ATCTTCCGCTCAAACGGATTCCGTTTTGCTTCCGTTGAATGAGCTTGCGGATTTCACGTTGGCGCGAACTCGGACGAACCTCGGTTTCGGTCGACTCGGTGGGCTTGATAACGATAGGATTAGAAAGGAAAATATGAAATAGTAAGAAAAATGGTGCTCTAAGCGTGCAGAATGTTCTATTACAGATTTAGAAATATTATAGTGCTTGACACGTACGAAATCACGCGAAACATTCGATGTAAAATGCTGACTTGTCCGAGAAGTTTGTGCAGATTTTATTTGACAAGTATTTAGGTGGATATAAACGTGGAATAAGGCGCTCCGTCCGTTCGACAGCCACGTATTGACTTCCGAGTTACTTATCTTTCTTATTTATATCGCCGCGCCCATCCGCGAGGATTAATATTTCTCAGCCACAGAAGCAAAAGCATGACGTTACGCATTCCAGTTTAATTACTTCAAACTTTATTATTGAATTCCAACGTATAATGCACGAATCGAGCAACGAGAAGAGAGAGAGAAGAGAAAAAAAAGAACAACGAAACAGCAATTTATCTATAAACAATTTTCTCTAGAAGATTATTTCATAATTTAATTGCCGTCGATGATGGATGATTAACCCGAGCGTTTTTCACTTTTCAGAAAGTTTACATTTTCATTTTTATATAAAATAATTTTTCCGCAAGAAACAATTTCACTCATAATTATTTTCTGCATAAAATGTTTCTTCAAGTTGCTATGTTAATTAAACACAGTTTGTTTTGTATGTGCAAGCGTTTTTTTCGACAGACGCATGTGCTTGGCACTTTTCTTTCTCAGAGAATGGTAATTTTTAAATGAATCTTTACGACTTCATTAAGAGAACAGAAATAAATTTGTCCAAACAAGTTTTTAGAATAGAAACAACACTAAATCTATCTTTTATAAATAATAGTTATTCGCTAGCTGAGAGCGAGTCAAAAATTTCCGGCAAAATTAAGAAATTAATATTTACACGAAATACCAATACGCTCATTATGCAATCATTAGGCTTTTCAATTATTCTCCTTCAGCGATCCGGTGGCGTGTGTGCACGTCAACTTCGAATGACTTTTTCCTCTCATATTTTTCCACCGCTCTCTTCTCGCGCAAATAATAAAAAAGTAAGCATTCGCTTCCTTTTTTTCGTTCTTTTTTTATTTTGCAACACATATGGATTTTCCGTAACGCTCGTACGTTTGCATCGTTTCCGCCGCGGCAGAAAAAACTCGCCTTGATGTAGCGCGAGAAGATATCGGCAGCGAACAGCTCCTCGGTCACGTGCGACAAATATCGCCTAACGCACGTGACGGCGAACACCGTCGAACGCTATCTCGTATTTTTCCTCCGCCACGCGAAGCGATATCCGCACATTGCGCAATTTTTACTCCCGCGTGCGCCGCAAATTTTGCATTTTATCGAGCGCCGACTCGATATCTCGCATGCACCGTCGGCGGATGTATTAGTCATTCGCATGGTACGCGCACTATTCGACATGTACAGGTGCGAGTGCACCGTATTCGCATGTTCCATATATGCTTTTTCAAACATCCCAATATGTAATTCGTGCGATTAGTTTCATAGATCAAGTTTTTGACTGACTGACTCTTTAGAAATATTTCTCAATTATTGCCCAAAAAATTCCCTGAAAATCTACTCAAGTTTATATGAAAAGTAAAGATCTTTGTGCATTATTAATTAATAATAATAATATTTCTTGTTACATAAAAATATTTTTCGCTATCACTCAGAATATTATAGTTTGGACGAGAGAAATTTTACGCAGAAAAAATAAAATTCTGTTAAAATTTACATTCAATTTACATGAAAAATGAACATGTGAACGAATAAATATATTTGTATATTTATATTGTAACGATGCTTCCATTTTATGAAAATCTTTTCTACCGCTGCTTAGAATACAATATTCTTGACAAAAGGAATTTCAAACGGGGAAACGCCGCGGAAAAAAAACCGTAAAGATGCCGCGGAGATGTCGTAAGGATAAAAAGTATTAACGATCGTAGCCGTGGGGATTTACGGGCGGCTTTCGTGGTCCAGAAAGTTCCAGGGGTGGCACGGCTGGACACTTCGTGTCGTTCTGGCAGAATGTCGGATATTCACGAGGGCGCATCCCTTTACGACGCCTTAAATTTCTTCCACCGCCTAAGTAATGCCTAAGAGATATTTTACGAGCGAAACTTTGTAATATTTTAATTTCTTTCTTTTTTAATTCTTCTTCCTCAACAACGATTCAATTCGCGAATCATAAATTCTTCACTGCGTATTAATAAGTCAGAGTTCGTGTATCAAAATTAAACCTAACAATATTAAATCTCGCGGATTCAGTGATCTTCGAGAGAAATTTCAATTTCGCATTCCATTGATTCCGATAATTTCTAAAATGTACAACCGCTTAAAACACAACAATTGCAGAGCGCAAATTCAAGGACCGCAAAATTTTAATATCCTCGTGACTTTAAAACGAAATAGGTGCTCCCGCGTTCCTTGCCTTCGGCAAATGAAATGGACGATGATATCACGTGCAGTTGCAGCGACAGCTATTACCTGACCCTTAAATGAAAGGCTAAGGATGGCAGACAACGCGTACAAAGGGTGCGCCCGTCGTATCTCGACTATACAATATCGTAATCCTCCGCCACATGAGAAACTCCAGCCGGAGAAGCCCGTTTGAGCGCAAGCTCGGATGTGCCGGGCAACCCAGAAAAAGCCGCGCTTATATCTACGGAGAATCTGCGCGGAATATAAATGTTATAAATCCTCGAATCCGCGAATTTTAAATGTATGGCAAAGAGATGCCCGAGAGCGGTCATCCGTTTTTCATGGCATGCTTATCGATTCTTGTTCAATACCGCTATCTGCGTTCATGCTAGAATTGAAATTATATTGACAATTTTCATCGATTTCATCGACTGATTCTAGTGTTAAGATTGTTTTGAATATTAAAATAAAATGTAAATAATTATTTTCATGAAAAATGTATCCTTATTTGGACCGAATTATCGTTATTCAAAAAATGATTATTAAATTTCGACGCAAAAAGCTGTAATTTTGCAAAGTAAAATGGCTAGAAATAAAATAAAATAATTCAAAATTTGATAAGAGAGATTATAAAAAATTAATATAAGATAAAACTAATTTGGCGCAAGAAAGCGCCGAAGGTAATAATTAATACAAACAAGGTTTGTAAAATAACCGCCAGAGACAAGGTGTAATCGTACAGGATACTGCTGAAGCTCCTTGCTAGTAGTCTAAGGTGGCTGATAATACATCTTAGATGGCAACCAAGAGCGTCGCAACGAATCTCCTCGTAATGCGATCACATTAGATGAACCATACATAACCGTTCGACGCGGAACTCTCTACGACATGTCGGAGAAGCACGACGAGCCCTTCGCCACCCTTCACTCTCGGCGTTAATGCATCCAGCCGGCTATGATAGGGCGAGACCGGGCGGTATACTCCTCGTACGAGGTTTCTCTCTTGTTACACAATGGGAAGCCTCGCGTTACAAGTGTAAACGGGAGCCGGCGACGCCTAAAATACTACGAAGCTGTGAAGCTTCCAACCGTGCAGAGGGTGTAAATACTCGCGAATGTGCGAAAGCCTTTTAAGGGCAGACGCCCTTAGACGTCGCTCGTTCATAGAGACTGGCAGGTCTTAAATATTCGCTTGAGATAAAGAAAGGAATGTTGCTCTCCGCCATAAGCATATGAAAATCCGTCTTTTGTCTGTTTTATTTTCGCGAATGAAAATTAATTTAATTTAAGACTCAAGCACTTAAATTTAAATTGCTTTAATTAAATTTAATTAGTCGCCGATTGTAAATCATGACAATTTGTCATTCAGCAACGTTAAGAATTTCAAGATTCTCCCGCATCCAAAGAATGCGAGACTTTCAAGTGCCAAGAATACTAAATTCTGAGATAAAAAAGAATATTATTTACATTTTTCAATATTTCAAGATTTAATGTGCAGATTTTTAAATTCACAGCTCTTTAAATCCTCGGTTTGTCGGAGTCGGCGGGCTTATTAGAGCCTCTTTATAATCTCACTACTCTAACGGAATTTCTTCCAGTCGCCGGTGCATTTAGCTGTATTTGAGCGCAAACCCCCGAAAAAGCAGAATGGAGAGGGGAAGGAACAGTAAGCAGCGCACAAATCATCGGGGGTGTATTCGAGGACCGCCGAGTCAAACGGAATGTACGATTTCACATCGACAAGGGTTTGCCCGGGGGGTTGCAGATGCTAATATTGAATCAAGCAGGAAGTAAACAGGGGTTGTTTTCGATTTCGCCAACTCGCCGAGAATCCAACTGGACAGATTTTTCCGGCCGACTTGCGAAAGACCGATTTGCAATTCCGGCTTTTCCGCAAAAGCGCTTGATATTGTCGTAAAAGTCAAACGTCAGAGCGTGCCCGAAGAAACGAGTAAAATTTTAAGAATGGAG